ATTTTGTTGACTTCATCACTGAACAATCTTCACACAAGGCTGTCAATAAAGCATACAAAAGAAAAGAAAGGCTATATATGACAATTTGCAAAATCACAATGAGAAACAAAAAGAAAGATTCAATTTTTTTTCCCCCAGCAATATGCTTTGGACACACTAATCCCCAGAGAAATATCACTTTAATCATCACTTTATTATTCAACTGACAAGGTCACAATCATTTCCTTTGAGTGACTTTCTGCACATTGACCAGATGTGATTTGTGTTTAGAGACACACAAGACACAAGCTAACTCACTGAATTTTCTCACTGAATTCTAAAGACAGCTTAAGATTTCTTTCCAACTCTGTTAGCCTGAAGACATTTGCGACTAAAAACAGCCCTTCTGTTGGAATGAATCTTTACTTCTGAAATGAACCATTTGTCTTTGTACATTTTAAAATTTCAATTTTGTAAGCACCTTAGTGATGATCACTACAGGTATCTTCCGAAACATTTAGCTTAAGTCACAGGTTTTCTTCAAAAAAACTACTTTGACCTTTAAAACGAATACACAAGTCAGTTAACAGAAATGAAATCAATAATTTTAACCAACCATAAGAATCCAAATGTTCCCATGACAATAATTACTTATTATAAAACAAATTATCACAGGTATCATCGCTCAATTCAGTTTTTTTTTTAAAATTCATTAATGGGATGAGGGCATAGCTGGCTAGGCAGCATTTATTGTCCATCCCTAATTGCCCAGAGAGTAGATCAGAGTCAACCACATTGCTGTGGGTCTGGAGTCACACATGGGCCAGACCAGGTAAGAATGGCAGTTTCCTTCCCAAAAGGACATTAGTGAATTAGATGGGTTTTCAGACAATCGACAATGGATTCATGGTCATCATTAGATTCTTAATTCAAAATATTTCATCGAATTCAAATTCCACCATCTGCTATGGCAGGATTCAAACCTGGGTCCCCAGAACATTATCTGGGTCTCTGGATTAACAGTCCAGCAGAATACCATTAGGCCATCATCTTTCCTCCCCCCAAAAAAAATTCTCTCTCAGTAACAGGGGTCTGTTTATTAATATTTGTAGCTTCCAAAACATGCAAGTGCACCACAGTGCAAACCCAACTAACACCACTAAATTTATTGTTGGTGTAATTCTTTGAACTATGGAGATTATTAGCAAATGTTGTCCAAATCATGAAATCACATCTAATGTTGGACACTGTTGCGAGCATGTAAAGGTAGGTTGATTAGGCGTGGTTATTACCTTGCTTGTTGCAAACAGCCAAAGTGATATGCTCGGCCTTTATACCTCACATCACAGAGACTGAAATTCACGTGCATACATGCTAAAAATGGCCCGTGCTGGATTGTGTAAGAGCAACAAACTGCCGAATGATACTTATAATGAAGTTTGTCCCCAGTACTCATTACATCTGTATATTTCTGGATTGCCTAAAGCAAACAAAAGTAAATGTCCTTTTATGCCATATCTTATCTATGACTGGTTTCACACAACATGAACTGGCCACATTAAAGTTTTGAGCACAATGCAGAATGGAGGATTCCTTCGCAGTTGTGAAAGTCATACAGGACATGCTTTTAATTTAAATGCAGCATTCACGTGATCATTTGTCATTGTTAGACTGTTCACTGATGTATCATACAGGGGAGCCGTAGACATTTGTATTGCAGTGCTACATCATGGCAATCTAGACCCACCACCATTGTGACAATCGGCAATCATTCAACTTGAGAAATGATATGTTCACTTAATGATGCCCAAATACATGACACTGCCGTGTGATTCCCACCAGGCCTAACTCTCATAAACGTCTTTGTGGGGAGTTTCATGGGAAATATGTCTTTGGAGGAACACAATAAATGAGTAATGATTTGAACAGGGTGGTCATTAGCCCACAGGAGGACTTAGCATCCAATTCCAGCATCAATCTGTAAGGTGGGCAAATTGCTTGGTCCCACTTCTCACTGTACATCAGAAAAGAAACACCACATGAACAGGCACAAAGCCATTACTTTTGGTCCTGAAAAATGATGAGTCCACCTCAGAGCACCCTGGGGGAAAAGTATCTCAAGTTTGAGCAACAGGTGAAGCTGTTCATGCTGTTACAATGAAGCAGCAACACCAGTGACATTTTCTACTAACAAAATACTGCCATCAAGCCAAAAGGTTGTTCTGCCTACCACACAATTGAGTAATGTGGTACATGAATTTCAGTGTTGACGTGATGCTAGGTATAGCTATACGGGTATAGACTAGCAAATCACATCAAACAGCATATCACTTTGGCTGTTGACAACACAGAAGGTCCAGATTATACCTAACTGGCCAGAACCAGCATAAAAGTCAACACAGTATGCACCATTAAATGTGATTCTGCAACTGGATAACATACTATACCATCCTGAGTGTGCAAACAATTGTGCTGACAAACAACTTTAGGGTTAGAGCTCGCAGTATTCCAGAAGTTACATATAATAACACACAGGGCCCCGTTCTTTGCAGACATAAAGAACGTGTATACACTGAACTATCTCAACTCAGCACAATACAGGTCAGCCATTTGTTTGTTCATTTCTCAGGGCAATGCCTTGACCAATCAGAGTCAACCTACCTGGTTCAAAATTTAAGTAAATCTTTGTCATCATTAACTGGCAGAGTCTTGGTGATAACATCTCAACCAATTAGAATCCAGTGGGCAAAAATCTGACAGATGGGGTACGATGTGCAAAAATGTGAACATCTCCAGATTTGCAGGAGAAATAGAAATGCAGCATTCTATGTAAACGAGATAGCCTGCTGAACTTTACTGTTTACAGGGATCTGGGTATTGTGGTGCATGAATGATTAAAAAAAATTCATGCAGGTGAAGCAAAGATTAGCGTTGCTTCAGCTGTATAGGGCTTTGGTTACACATCACCCGGAGGATTACGTATGATTTTGATCTCCTTACTCAAGAAAGGATATAAAGTAAGAAGCAGTTTAAAGAAGGTTGACTTAACTGACTCTTGGGATGAATGGGTTATTTTGAGGGAAGATTAAGCAGGTTGGGCATGAATCCTTTGGTATTTTCAACAATAAAAAGGTGATCTTGTTGAAACATAGGAGATCAAGAGGGTGCTTGACAGGGTGGTTAATGTGTGAAATTCTCTTCTCCAGAGAACAGTGAAGGCTGTGTAATTAAATATATTCATGGCTTAGTTTGGTAGAGTTTTGTTCAACAAGGGAGTCAATGGGTGAATGTAGCAGAATGAAGTTGACACCACATTGAAATCAGTCAAATCCCCTACTCCTGTTACTCATTATTGTGTTTTGCAAAGCTAGGTTTTCAATCCTGCCGGGGCTGAGATAGAAGGTGATTGAGACCTAAATGTGGCTTCCCTGATGGCCCATTCAACCTGCCTGTTGCAGGAGCAACCATAGGCCACCAATGTAGAGGAGTTCTCCTCAACCCTGGACACCTTACTCCCTTAAAGTGGCTTAATTGCTGAATCTATTTTTGATTAAACTTATTAAAAATTTGGTGACAGTGAACATTCATTTTAAAGGCCATTTCAAGCTGAAAGGCCTCCAACTGCCCCTTCTCCATTGAGACCCCTTGCAGCGTGAGATTGACAGTGAGCCTACTCTCTGGCTATTAATTGACTAACGCAGGGAAAAAAAAAATCACAGATGAGTGACTGTTTGTCCCGAGGTGTGACATCAAGAACCAGAAACAAAGCCAACCTGTTTCCTACCTGTTGAGGGAAAATCCAGCCCTGCCAGAATGTTTGGGTCAATTCACTTACATTTCCATTAGGACCATTTGACAGAAATCTCACGTAAACTGAAAAATGTTTCATATGCTGAAACTGCTTAGATCTTTGATTAGAGCTTTTAAGAAGTCGATTCTGTCTCAAGACTGCCGTAACACTTTGGAAAGAGCAAGCAGGCAAGTTGCAAACTGGTTTTAGCACAGTTCACTGTTAGCTGGCTGTGCTGAATGGCTCATGTGGTTTTGTCACTTTTGCAAAGAGATATCTGCTAGGATGTGGCTCTGACAGCCAAGAGAGTGACAAAGACATAGCAAAGATGAACTTGAGCAGAGCATGCAGTTTTTCTGAGCGCATCCTCAAACCTTTCAGAATGAGACTGCATAAAGAATGGATTGACTGCTGTATCTCAATAGGGAAAAAGCAACAGAAAATACGTCTTGTGCAAAGTCAAGGATTCTGATCTCAAACATAACAGGACGTTAATCAATACTACAATGACATCAGACAGCTGAAAGCCTTTAACAGAACCTTTCAAGCCTCCAATCTCTACTGCCATCATGAACAATTAATAACATTATTTTGTCATTGCTGCTAGAGTAGAATTCCTGGTCTTAAATAACAGACTGAGATACATCAGTGAGGTCAACGTTACTTGATAAGTAACTTCTCAGAGCCACTTTGTTACACAACAGTTTAGAAGATATTTTGCAAGTGGTGGTGTTCCTACATTTCAGAGGCCTTACCCTTCCAGGTGATAGAACTCATGGTTTGGAAGGTGCTATCAATGGACTCACTTCAGAGTATACACTAGAGAAAATGAGAATTTCCTAATTTGCCAACACCAGGCAAGTGTACATGCAGCTTTAAGATGTTTATACATTACACAAGAAATCCAGCCCTCCTCCTGCTTCTGTATTCCTGGCATGAATGCAAATCAGGCTGGGAATGTATCGTGCATATTCAGAAACGTAGTGAAATAGTAAATTCACTGGCTGAAATGCACTTGTGTTGCTTATTTGTTTAGAGAGTAATTTCACTGCCTGTAATTTTACCACAGGGCTGAAACTTGGCATCATGAATAATTTGAGGCTGAATCCTTCCCTTCAAACATAAAAACCATCATTCATATCAATACGGACATGAATTTTTTTTTATAATTAGTTCAGTTGAACTTTGTCTCTTTTTCTTAAAAAATATCAATGATTTTTCTGAAACTTACTCATTATTCTTCTCAGATGCATCCTTTACCACATCAACCTTTGCATCATTGTCTTCCTGTGATGCTTGCTCTATCAATTTGTTTACAGGTCCTTGCAAAACCTACAAACAAAAGTTTCATTATTTTAAGTTATATGGCATTCACAAAATGTTTTAACTTTAAATTACACATTATGGTCAAACAATTTGTCACATAAACCTGCAAGTAATATATTTGGCGTCAATTCAACAAAAAAAAACATGCTTTTGTCTGAGAGAACATACTTTAGCCTGAGATACGTTGGATAGAGATCTGATTGTGAAAGTAAATTTTAGTGGCCCCCTTATTAATCCTTTTGACTTTTATTCGTCATCCTTTTCGTCAGTTAATATCACCCATCTTCCACCTAATACAAAATCCCTCCATCTATCAATTCACTACCTCTGCCTTTGTTATATCTCTGAATTTTTCCTTCCTTGAAAGGCCTATCACCTGAACCATAGGGGTTGGTCTTCCTCTGTGGGCTTCAAACTTTTGACAATGGGAGTGCCAATCATCCAATTCTGGACAGTTTCCTATTAGCTCACCAGCTAGGAGACCCAGCCCTCCATCCATAATAGGTTAAAAAGTTACCTTCAGGCCATGTTCATTAGCAGTTGTGTGTTCCCACCCACATTTCATTCCAAGAGCACCCCTGAATTAAAAGTCTATGGCCATTTCATACTTAATACTTCTTTGAGGATTTGGATTTGAAAGATTATGCAGAAAATTTCTGTTTCATGTTATATCTAGACATTTGAATTAGGTTAAAAAAAAATACACTGCAAATGCTTTGGGACATCGGAAATCTTTTTTTCCAACAAGGCTTCTTCGAAATCATACAACTTCAGATAATTGAATGGATTCACTTCTCATCTTTCCCCTGTCAGAGTTTTCTGGTTTTCTTGTAAGAAGTGTGGGGTTCGGCAAGTTGCTTCTGATCAGAATTGAATGGAGACACGAACCCCGTGAATACAGCCAACACTGCTGGTCTCTCCTGCTTCTGAAAAGAGAACTCTGCCACAAAATTGGGAGAACAATCGGATTTCTCCCTAAGAGGGTGACTGTGGGAACTTCTCAATATTGTATACTTCCTGATCAACCTGTGTCTGACAAAATCTGAGACAACTGAGTGCAAGTAGTGACACACGCAAGAATATCAGATCAACGATCACTTTATCTTGTCGCCTTCTAGAACAATCATTGGTTTGGTCAAAAAGTGATTTTTTCTGAATACTCTCTACTGTGTTGGGTGGTGGGTGGGATGGGGTGGAGGAAAGAGAGAGAGAGAGACACAGACAGACAGCATGTATGTGAAGAGGTGTGCGAGTTTTTTTGTGAACAACTGATAGCTATTTGTAACTCAATTCACAAGTTCCAGAACTCGCTGCAGAACTACACATTTTCTTTGAAATCTTAAACAAAATCATTTAGCTTCCAGTGCAAAGTTGTTTTGATTACATCTAGTCAGTGAAATGTTTCACCATTCCCAGTTTTGAAGTTGTCATTGGACTCTAAATATTAACTGTTTCTCTCTTCACAGAAGCTGACAGACCTGCTGAATTTCTCCAACACTTTTTATTTAAATGAAATTTTATTGTCAAGTCATTTGTTCTGGTTCTATCACTAACTTTATGTTCAGAATTTTGATACAATTACAGCTTGAACTCCTCTTGCAGTGCTAGGCTTCAAAGTAATTGTTATCTCAGACTTACCAGCATCTCTCTCTAATGAGAAAGCAGACTCTGGGGCTATGGCGACTTTCACTTCACAAAGGATCAATAGAAAAGGATTATGAAAAGGATAGAGTGTAGTAACAGGAGTATAGCAAACAATTACAACTTTCTTGACTGCAAAGTATTCATTCATTTGACTGTACAAAAACAAATGAATATGATAAGAAATGAAAGATTAAACTCCAAATAGCTCAATCTGCTACAATATAAGGGAAAACACAAGTGACTTATTATGTATTAAGGCCGTGTGATACCAATGGATGTGTTTCTTCATGCTGGCTAAGCATGCGCTCCGAAGGTGGAGTAAACTGTCAGAAAATCTTGCTGTTCCAAAGAGATAAATCAAACCAGTGCTGACAATCAAAAGCATGACTGACATTGTTACCCATGACTGTAAAATAACAGGGTATCACAGACAAAGAGAGATCATTTCCCTAATGAAAACAGAATTACAGTTTAATTAAAAGCAGCAAAATACGAGCCAGCCTACCTCCTCCCTTGTTCCTTTGATTATCCATGTATACTATGTCATCGGATAGGTCAACACAATACCGATGCAATAATGGAACAGTGTTTCAATTTATCTCATGTTATTTTTGATACATTACTTTATACTGCACAAATTGTGCTACTCGGAATTACAGCTTTCTTTTCCGTAGATAAACTATTTTTTGGACAGTCACAGAACAATCCAGAATCATGTAATTGTTTTATACACTTTGTTATTTCTGCAATTAATGATTTATACAAGCTTTTACATCGATCTTTGTCATTCTTTATTAACAGAAGTACTAATGGCAAACTTTTTCCCCTTCATTAAATGTATCACTGCTGTTTTTAATTAACTGCATCATGTTCAGGACCACCTTCAATCTGGGGTTGATAAGTGTCAAGCAATCACCATCTCCAACAGTGAATCTAACAATTTCTTCTGAATAGTTAGGGATGGTCCATCAACTTGCTGAGAATGATGAGCAGTCCACACTTGCCAAGCTGAATGCCAATCAAGTGGCTGCATTGTCCTCGATGTTTTACAGCATTTTCTACATTGTCAAAACTGCACTCATTCAGGCATTGAAAATTATTCCATCACATTCCTAACTTGTGCCTTATAGATAGTGGACAATTTTGGAGGAGTCAGGAGATGAGATACTCACCACTGAACTTGTAGTGACTCGCTCTTGTATTTGTATGGCTTGTCCAATTCACTTTCTGGACAAAAGTAAAACCCAGGATGCTGATAGTGGGGTTTTCACTGATGTTAATGCCATTCAATTTTAAAGGAAAATGATTGGATTCTCTCTTCTTGGAAGTAATCATTGCCTACCAGCTATAAAGCATGAACGTTCTCTGCCACTTATCTGTCAAAGCCTGAATATTGTCCAGGATTGTATGCATTTGGGCACAATGTGCTTCAGTATCTGAGAAATCACTGAATAAGACAATTTTGAAGGTGACCATCCAGCCCATCCTGAGTTTGAATGAGCATCATGACTGAATCTGTCCTTCTACTCTTTCCCAATAACCCTGAACATTATTTCTATTTAAATAATCATCCGTTGTCCTCTAGAATGCTACAATTGAATCTGCCTCCACCACAATTCCAGGCAGTGTATTCCAGACCTGAACTACTTACTGCATGAATTTGTTTTCTCACATCACAAAATCTGCGTCGTCTTGTTCTTGATCCATATATAACTGGGAACGGTTTCTCACTCTTCCTTCTGTCCAGACTTCACATGATTTTGAAAACTGCTATCACATATCCTCTTCTCATCTCTGAGGAAGAGAGTCCCAACTTCTTCAATTTATATTCATAACTGAACTTTCTCATCCCTGGTGCAGTTTTTGTCAACTTCTTTCACTCTCTGCCAAATGTGTTCACCTCCTTCCCAAAATGTGGTGTCTAGAACTATACACAACACTCCAGCTGAGGTTTAGCTACTGTCTTATGTAGATTCAGCATTACTTCCCTGCTCCTTAACGCTATGGCACGATGAATAAATGCTAGGATACTGTATGTTTTAATAAGCACTCTTCAACTGTCCTGACATTTTGTGACTTATGCACACAAGTCCCAAGTCCCTCTGCTCTTGCACAGCCTTTACAATTGCACTTTTTATTCTGTACGGTCTCTGTCTTTTCTACGAAAATGCATCAGCTCACCCTCTTGACACCTGTTCAAAAAATCCCAGCAAGTTAGCTAAACATGATTTCCGTTGGGAGATCTATGTTGGTTCTCCCTAACTAATCTGTATTTGTCAGTGACTATTAACTATAGACTGAATTGTTGTTTCTTGAAGATACTTCACTGCGGAATTTAAACTGGACTGGTTTATAATTGCTAGTCCTCTCCTTACAAACATTTTAGTGAACAATGGTGTAACGTTTACAATTCTGCAGGCCTCTGGCAACTATGCCAGTATACACGATAGAATCAAAGATCATGGTCAAGATCCCTGCAATTTTCACTTTCACTTCTTTCAATATCTTGGATGCACATCACCTGGTCCTGATGTCTTGTCAAATCCAAATGCCAATAGATTGATTATTCAATATTTTCTCCATACCAATTTTGAACCCTTGTAGTGACTGGGTTTTTTTCTTCTGACACCATGAGTTATATCTGCTTCCTTGGTAAAGGCAGATGCAAAATATTTATTTAATGCCTCAGCCATGCCCCATTGCCATGTGTAACTCACCTTTGAGAACCCCAAATGGTTGTCCTCCTTGTAACACCCTTTTGACTATGTACGTACCTAGCCTATAAAAGGCTTTGGGATTCCAAAGTTTACTAGCCACCAGTCTTCTCTCATATTCCCCCTTTGCTACTCTCATTTGCTTTCTCATCTCTCTTCTGAACCTTTCATATTCACCTTATTTCTCAATTGTGTTTTCTACTGCACACCGTCATAAGGCCATTTCTTCATCATCTTAATTCCTATCTCCGTTACCACCCAGTAAGCTCTGGATCTGTTTACCCTACCCTCCCTTGTTGAGGGAATATGCCAGGATTGTATCTAAACTATCTCTTCTCTGAAGGAAGCCTATTGTTCAACTTTTTCTCATCACTGTTTTCCCACTAATCTTTGGCACTGTTCTTTCCAGCCCAGCTTTGGTATTGGCCCACTGAGGTCATTTCTTGTCCAGTAAATTATTCACACTCTGGAATTAGAAGCAGTGCTGAAAGAGGAGTAATGCCTCATATGCTCCACATCTAGCTCAATGCAGCCAAGCTATATCAGTACAGCTAAAACAAATGCCATTTACCAAACAATGTAGAAAGTTGCCCAGGCATATACTGTCCATACAAGCAGGGTAAATCCATGCTGGTCAATTACTGTCCCACATATCTACTAGAAGTTACGGAAAGTGTCATTATCAGTGCTATCAAGCAGCATTCACACAACTTACAAATGCTCAGTTTGGGTTCTGCTATTGCCATGCACTTCTTGTCCTCTTTGCAGCCTTGGTCTAGACACAAAGAAGCACTTGACAGATTTTGGTATTAAGGAACCCGAGCAAAACTACAGTCAATGAGAATCAGGGAAAATCTCTGTGCTAGGCATGACTCCAACCAGCAGAAATGAATCCGGTTGTGTTATTGGAGGTAAATCATTTCAGTTCAAGGACAAAGCTTCAGGAATTTCTCAGGTTCAGGCCTAGGCACAAGCACCTTCAACTGTTTTATCAATGACCTTCTTATCATGATATGGTCAGAAGTGGGGATGTTTGCTGATGATTGTGCAATATCCACGATTATTCACAATGACTCAGCTAATGAAGTAGCCCATATCAAAATGCAACAAGACCTGGACAAGTTCCAGGCTTGAACAGATAGTGACAAGTAACATGCAATGTTTATAATAAACAAAAGAGAAGCTAATCATTTCTCCTAGATATTCAACATTACCATTGCTGCATTCCCCCATTATCAAGACCATTTCCATTGAGCATTTCCATTGACGAGAGTGGTTAATATGCGATGAAGGATCATTGGACCCAAAATTTTGACTCTGCTTTCTCTCCATAGATTTGCCAGACCTGCTTAATTTCTCCAGCAATTTCAGTAGGGATTCTATAATTCATGAAGGGTTTTCATTTTGCAAATGTGCAACTGGTGAAAATGACATCAACCATACCATCATGCAGACTTAACCAAGTTACAATATTTGCAGTGTTTTTTGATTATCAAAGATGCTTATATTATTCAGGAATAGCAAAAATATCAGGATTGTTGTTTGGTGACCTACTTGAACCATGGTCAAAGACTCATTATGTCACTTGAGGTTTGGGCATGCTTTGTGGAACACACTGATATTCTCAAGCACCACTTCAGTTACCTGGAAGGATCAATATTCACTATGTTCCCACATTATGGAAGCATGTTGTACATTACAATACTTTGCAGTTAGGAAAGCATTGGGTTTTTATCCACTCAAGATGCATTGAAACCAATGATTTACTCATCATGGCAAGGTCATCCACGAAAGAGGGGAAAGGACATATGAGAATCGGATCTAAACAGCAGGTGATATTCAGAAATGAATGGTTGGCAAATGTTTTTGGTGTTTAGGATTTTATTCCTCTCCAAAGACCAGGCCCAATATTACAATGAATGTAGCTTCTACATACAGGGTGCCCCAGGTAATCGAGTGAACTGATGGAACCGTCAATCTCAACTCAACTATCCTAATGAACTTTTGACAGTTTCCAACATCCAAACTGCATTGAGCGTGGTGGCCCGATTGAATGGGGCACAAGAAATAAGGGCAGCAACACACAAGCATAAATGCACACATGCAGATGCCATCTCTCTGGCCCTCCATTCATCCCTGGAACATCTGGACAAGGATACCTATGTCAGGCTCCTACTTATTTACTCAAGCTCCACCTTCAACACCATAATTTCAACTAAACTAACCTCCAAACTGAGACCTAGGTCTCTGTTCCACCCTCTGCAATTGGATCCTCAACTTCTGACCCACAGACCACAAGCAGTGAGAACAGGCAACAGCACCTCCTTGATAATCCTCAACACCAGTGCCCTGCAGGGCTGCGTACTCAGTTGCCTACTGTACTTCGTGTACATTCATGACTGTGTGGTCAAATTCCATCCTAACTCCATCTACAAGTTTGCTAGTGACACCACCGTTGTTGGCCAAATCTGAAACAATGATGAGACAGAATACAGGAAGGAGATAGATTACTTGGTGGTGTAGTATAAAGATAACAATCTCTCCCTCAATGTCAGAAAAAAATGAAAGAGCTGGTCATTGACTTCAGGAAGCAAGGTAGAGGGCACAACACTGTCTACATCAATGGTGCTGAGGTGGAGATGGTCAAGAGCATCAAGTTCCTAGGAGTGATGATCACCAACAATTTGTCCTAGTCCACTCATATTGACACTACAGTGAAGAAAGCACAACAATGTCTCTACTTCCTCAAGAGGCTAAGGAAATTCAGCAGATCTATAAAAGACACTTACCAATTTTTATAGATGCACCATAGAAAACATCCTATCCGGATGCATCATGGCTTGGTACGACAAACTGCTCTACACAGAATCATAACAAACCACACAGAGTTGAAAACATGCCCAGTCCATCACGCTAGCCAACCTTCCATCCACTGACTCGCCTATATTTATCACTGCCTCAGGAAGGCAGCCAACATAATCTCCCCCACCCCGGTCATAATCTCTTCCAACCTCTTCTATCAGGCAGAAGACAAAAGCTTAAACACATGTACCAACAGATTCAAGAACAGCTTCTTCCCCACAGTATTAGACTTCTGAATGCACCTCTCAAATTTTGAATTTAATGTTGGTCTTGTTCTTGGTGCACCTTCTGTGCAGCGGTAACATTGTATTTGTCGCACTGTAATGCACTTTGTATGGCATGATCTGCCTGTACTGCATGCAAAACAAAAAAAAAACTTCTCACTGTACCTAAGTATATGTGGAGAATAATAAATCACATCAAATCAAAATGGACAGTAGGGGTAGAACTGGTGGCAGCAGTAACATACGAGAAGAAGAATGAGGTGAACAGCAGAGACGTTGTGCACAGATTGTGGATCCAATGCAGGAACAGTTTAATAATCTAACCAGATCAGGGAAAAAAAAAAAAAAAGTGTACACTTTGATGATTCAAGTATATTCTGATGTTTAAACCCCCATTCCTGTTCACGCAGTCTTTCTATTGTGTTCTACCGCATTAGGAGTAATGTCCACTTAATATGCAGCAGTACCCGACCTTCAATTGCTATGAAGTTCATGAATCACTCTTCCTGATTACACCCAGGAGTCCAGCCATTTGTTGGACTCATCCCAATCATTACACGGAGATGCATTTGTCTTGGTAATTCTCACTCAAAACATTCACCATTCGGAGAATATCTGACCTTCATTGAATTCTGAATAGGGCTGTTTCTATGCCACTCACGGGCGAGTACAAATCACGAGAGAGAGACACACACAGAGACAGAGACAGAGACAAAGATGGGCTACCACAACAGATCAGCTGTCACATGCACAAGTGATGGCCTTGGGATCAAAGATGAAGGTGACAGAATTACAAGTCTCTGCGACACACATATGCTGGAAAATGAGAAGACCAATTTTGACGATTATCAAGATCGATGCCTGAAACTCATTCCTCTGCTAACATTGCAGGCTGTAGTCTGGGAGTATTATTTTTATCTGTTTCATTCATGTTTTTCAAGTCAAGCAGATTTATACAAAAACCATGCAAGAAATGCAAATCTTTTTGGATGGAAATGGAAGGTAAAACAACAAAGAACAGTGATGGTTTTCAAATTTTTTGTGTATCTATAAACGAACATACAAGTCAAAATATACATTTACCTTCAACATTGCAAATTCATATGGCTGATAGCCTTTGAAACTTTCATGAATAGCAGCCATCGTATGAGAGGTCTTTTCCCAGAAATGGAGTAATGTTGTCTGAATTAAAAAAAATTATTTTAATTTAAATCACTGTGTCATGTTCATTACTTACGTTTATCGGCTAAATAATGAAAGTATAATTTATTGGATTCATGGTTCAGAGATTTATAGATACGTCATTTTCTTTCTGCAATTTACAGTAAAATAAAAAGTAACAAAATTACATGCATTTTTTTTCCCACATCCATCTATAATGAAGAACTTGAACTGCTTCTGATTCCTGCAACCAAGTTACCCCATCTTGCAGGTCATGTGTCACAACTATGTAATTATAACAGTATAGATTTTGTTAAGAAAACCAATCTGTCTTTGAAACGGACAAAGGATCTTGCAAAATGGCTCCCCAAAATTATATGACTACTCTTGAATTTTAGCAGGAACTGGGACTAGACTGTACTTGTATTGAGAAGAAGCCACAACAGACCTTTTGAAATTCAACGAACAATTCCATAGGTAAGCAGAAATTCTGTGATAATGGTTCTTCTCCAGATGTGAATTGCTCTGTACATCACCAAAATAAAGCTGACAAGTACCTTCTAAGCAAATGGCTAAGTGAGATAAAATGGTCAATTACATCAATCACAAGACAATGGATGACACTCTGCTGGAGATCCAGGCTAAACATATACAGAAGTGTGATTTGCAGTTTTGGGATAGCAACCATGTATCAGACAGGGTATAAGAAACCATTTTGTACAGAAATTCATCCCTTTCCCTCAGGAATAACTCTGAAAGACAGCATCGGGGCAGGCTGGGGTTTCTCAACAGGGAGAGGGCGGAAAACAAAACAGCTGGAGGACTGCTTTGCTGATCCAGAATACCAAGGGCCACAAAGTGCCATAAAAAAACTAAGCTGATGTTACTCAACCTCAAGCAAGCCAGATCTACAATGATATTGGAGATTGATCCCATTTTCATACATAACATTTATCCATACTTTTAATCCTTGTATATTTATTGTATATAGTGTCTAATACTTTAGCAATAGTTGTTACAGGTTATGTTTGGTGTTGATTATTTTAAATTAAAATAAGCAATAACAAAAAAGGGAACTAAATGAACTGTACATATTTGTGTTTCACAGGCTAATCTTGAGGACACACCAGGTGTGACTGTAACACATTAAAATAAATACAACCAAGGTCTCATACAAGCAAAGTTGTATTTACTTGTATTACACGAAGAACCCCTAGGTGAGGTGCCCTAATACTGTCCCAGATGAGATACCACAAGCTGCTTTATTCATCCACCTCCTCAGTCGGTTGCAACAAGGGTAAGTTAAAAAGAACGTCTTCCCTCGTGGATAGCTTTCTCGCAGATCCAAATAAACTTGTCTTTTTAAAAAACAGCCAATTTAACCAGGCTTTCTTGAATTCATAAAGCCTGCTTATTCATTATTAAGCTCCAGAAAAATTAGCAACACAACACATACAAGCACATTTATAATAAGAAAAGAGATTCCAAAAAAATCGAAACCTAAAAAAAGTTTTGCATTGTTTTGTGAAGGGCAGTTAGTTGAACATCGACTGTTGGGATGCATTGGTAGGCGAGCAGTTGGCTTCTGGATCATCAGTTTTGCAGATTGATTGAGACTCTAATGCTATGGTGCCTTTTGACTATGTCAAATTCCAAAATTCAGAGGGAGAGTATCCTTTGTCATCCTGTTCCCTTTCAAACTGATTTGCAGCACTCTGAGCTTGGATCTCGACCTGCAACATGGGTGTGACTAGGGGATAATTCTTTGATTGTGAGCATTGCAGCACATGAAGGCTGGTACACAAGACTGTATTCAGTTCTAATAGTCTCCCGCAGTAGAGTTTAAACCGGCCTTTTAAGCTCCTTTTCCTATGTATTCACAGGAAAAATAGAAGACAAAATGTGTCTAGCAGCTTGGGACAATCTGCAGGGGGAGGTTTGTTGTTGAGCTGGGGGTCATCAGGCCCTTGTTACCTTTGTAGTCATAGGACATCACAGTACACAGATTTTTAAAGTTCCTTTGGATATTACATCCCATTGATCCCACACAAAGGTTGCTATAGACCTGCAATCATCATCTCTTTGGCGGTTCTCTTTTTAAAAAGACATTTTGGAATTAAGGGCTAAAATCATCCATAATACTTTGCTGGGGGGGTGGGGGGGGGGCGGTAGAAGGGAGTTTGATTTGTGATCATTACTTCATTTGAGGTATTTAGAAATATTGGGTAAGTGAGGGAATACAAGGCAGTGAGGGAGGAGTTGCAGTTCTGATCTTTTACGAAAAAAAATGAAGTGGCTCAGAGATAGAACAGAAGACCATCTGTGGACCTTCGAAGCCTCGATTAAGGAAGTGAATAGAGAAATAGTTGCTAAGTTTTACCCCATCTGTACACAAGGACAGTAGATTAACCAGGTAGCTGGGAGATAAATATTTTATTACATTTATAGCTTAATTACTAAACCACTTGACACAGCTTAAAATAATAATGCAGTGATCTTTCTACAGTAATGATGGCAGAAAGGTGATGTTTTGCAGTTGCAACATTTGGAAGCTGGTGGACACTTGTTGATCCACAGTGACCATACCTCCTGCAAATGTCTGCAGCCTGAAGAAAGTCAGCTTAGAGTTACTGAACTGGCATCTGAGCTTCAGTCACTGAGATGCATCAAGGAAAGAGAAATTTACTCATACACCGATCCAGGAGGCAGTCACAACCCTTAGGATGAACACTTCAAATTTGATCCATGATCAGGGACAGAAGGATATAACTACAAGGTATGGGGAACTAAAGCGTGTAACTTGAGGAACTTTCACCTTTGCAATTGATCAACAGTTTCAAGGGTCTACCAGGACAAAGGCAGGTTCTGCATGGGAGAATGACCAAACTGACTACCAAACTTTGGATCAAGGAGCCATTCAAATGATGGAATTAAAAAGAATGTAGTAATGGAATAGTGTAGTTACAAGGCTTGAAATAGGTCACTGCAGCCCACAGCGAGTCCCATTGACTGTTGCTAGATAAGTGCCAGGAGTAAAGACATCATTTCAAGTTGGAGAAGAATCTGAAGTAGGTGGGGAAGGATCCAGCTGCAGACTACTGTAGGTCCAAGATAAAACAAATGTACTTCAAAAGGCTAAGTTATAAAAATAGAACTACAAATCTCTGGATTACTACCAGGTAAGCCAATGATTTAGTAGTTATTTCACTGGAGTAGTAATCCAGAGGCAGAGCTTATTTGCCAACAATGTTCAAAATCCATTACAGTGTCTAGAATATAAGTAATGATAGTTAAGTGAGTAAGTAGGAAATGCAGAGGACAAGAAGCAGCTGCAGATTTAGAGGCTGACGTGAATGGACAAGTGCATGCAATGATGACAGTTGCAGTCCAGAAGCCTTGATGAAAGGAGTGTGTAGTGGCAGAGTTTGAGTGAGTAGCAGCCCTGAGATTGTAAGATAGCAAACAAAAGGTGGAGACATTTACCTTGCTAAGGAGCAGAAGACCATTAATTTTACAGCACTGCTGGGCATTGCATTTTACTTAGGACATGATACTGACTCAGGCTGCTTTCTTGTTTTAGGCTGACGGAATTTGGTGCCCTGGTTTCCTTTCCAGTAAAAGCACTTCTCTCCCCTCCACCACATGTCTACCAACACCTCCCCAACAACAATCCTGAAGAGCTAACTTCCCTTTCTGGGCCATTTCCTTCAGGATAATAATACCGAAGCATCGGGTTAAGACTAACAAAAATCTACACAAAGGGCTGGATCTTGCACTCTCCTGTTAGCAGGTTTAAAGGCAGGGAGCATATAAACTCCAAGGGAGATCTTCTTGCCACCTAAGTATCTCTGCCCCTGAAAATGAACAAGGTATAGAGTGGTGGGTTAGGGATAAGGTATGGGTATCAGGAAGTCAGCCCACGTTTAGGACTCATCCAGCCCTATTGATCTCTTACCCGTAGCAGGAATTGGTCTGTACCATGCAGAAAGCCAGATGGCTTTACTGACACAGACTGTTGTCAAGCATGGAAGGGGGACATCCTTTATAGGTGCCTGGGCTACTGGAAGCAACACTGCCACTCCTCAAGTACATCCTACCCATTTAAACCTGCCTGGTCTCTTGAATTCGGACCCTCATCTGCCTGAGACCACAACTCCAAACTTACTTGAACTCTGATGTGCTGGGACTCTCTATGCTTAAAGCCATTGTCGAGGCTCATGAGCGGCGCTGCTGGAACTACAGAGGTGCTGACCAAACAATGGATCTGGAGGTCTCCAAGGCAAGTCTTACTCCCAAGAAACAAGAAGAAATCTTACTTTAAAAGCCACACTGCTGCCAGTGCTAAATCACTGCAGGGCAGCCATTGGGATTATCTGCAGAATCTCCCACCTTTACCCATGACTGTTTAGCTGCAGTGGGGGGTCATGATAGGGATTATAGAGCACTGAAAAATCTAGCCTGAAAATGCTCCCAAAATTAGCTAAGAAATAACTCAGTTTTCAACACTTATAACTTGATTGTTTGCCATTTATACTCAACTGTGACAAAATACTTTTCAAGCTAGAAACCCTTATTTATCTGAACACTTAAAATTGGCTCCTCAACACTGAGGATGAATTGAACAATGTATTTAAAAGAATAATTAGCTTCAATTATAAGTGTCAACTGCAAATTAGTCTTTATTGTAACAGCAAACCATCAACAGAATAGTCAACTGTTAAAACATACATCTGTCAGGTCTGTGACAATTCTAAGAAGAGAAACACAAAATTAATTTCTATCCTTTATTTTTAGCTTAGGCACTTAAGTGATTGCATGTTCCTCATTGTTTTAAATAACCTCATCACAAGAGACATTCCATTATGACTTAATATCATATCCTAAAGCTAGAAACCTTTAGAGACAAAGAAGTCAATAATGAGACCACCATTTTTTAATAATAGCTTAATCATAATGCATAAATTTAAGTAAGAGGATAGCAGATAGCAACAGATGGGTGTATTCAAAAAATAAACTTGATGTGGATCGAGAGAACAACTGAGAATGTTATGATGAATGTCTCCATTAGAGTACAATATGTTTTAACTTTGGGAAAATAATGAAGCAAAAGCAAGAAGGCGGCTAAATTGAGTATCCATAAACAAACTTATACAATCATAGTTTGGTTGCAGCATTGAAGGAGGCCATCCAGTCTGATATAAATTCTGCAGAAGCAACCCAGTCTTCAATCCATTTTCCATAGTGCCGTAAACTTTTTCTTCAAATTCATATTCAATTTCTCTTCTGAAAGCTAAAACTACCCTTGCTTACATCACACTCAGGCAGTGCATTCCAGACTAACCACTGACTGCACAAAAAATATTTTTCTTCATGTTGCTATTGCTTCTTTTGCCAAATATTATAGCATAATGTCCATTTGGTTCTCCCCCAATTTGCCACGGGAAAGGTTTTTCACCAACTACTGTCTATAGTCATGATTTTGAACATCTCAACTCAAATCTCTTACCGAACTGGAAAATAAAAAGCTATTTTATATAACTGAAGCATTTTTATAATTATTTTCTGCATCCTGTCTATACCCTTCAAATCCTTACAATAGTGTAGTGTCCAGAATTGGGCACAATACACTAATCAACCAAATTGAAGTAGAAATACAAAAATCAGAGATGCCAAAATAAATGAAACAAGTTGCATCACAGGAGAAATGAGTGAATCTTTCAAATTTAAAATGGCTGTGTTCCCAACATGCAAAATTAATGGAGGATGGATTGAAGAGCAAGCTACATAAAAAGTGCTTTGTAAAACTGTACAACGCACAAAGCACAGTGAATGAATTAGTTCAGAGAAACTGTCCTTAATAAAAGAAAGATACTTGATTCTGGAATTCATGAGAGCCCAAGTAATATTTCTATTTACAATCTGAAAGAGAATAAGGCACCTGATTTTGTTCTATTAACATAATTGCAGAATTACTCTAGGCAGATTTGAAACACAAAATAATGTAAACTTAGGAATAGCAAATGGTTGAAAGTGATGGAGAATTAATAAAAATACCAATTTTCAAAACAGACACAAGTAAAAGCAGCAAGTAGAGAAAACAACTTTAGTAAATAATCTTCTGGGTATACTTATTAAGTCACTGCAGAGGACAATAGAAAGATACATTAACACGGTACTTATGTAACACCTTGGTTTTAGATGAGAATGAAATTCAATAGATCAATGATTGATAAGACAAAGTTCACAAATTTATGGTGCATCACATCCCATCCATTGCTGTCATAAATAAGTAGTTTTTCAGCAAGTCTAGTGTATAGCAAGGAGGAATATGGCATGCCTCAAGGCTGCATGGAACTCGAGAGGCTTGACAGTTTGATAGAAAACAGCTATAACTAGTCATGAGTGCTATTAAAGTGGATAGGAAACTGACACAATGGTTTATCATCAACAATTGAAATGAGACAACAATGCATAATATCACAAGTTATTTAATCCAGAATTGGAAGCAGTAAAGTGGCAAGATTTTAAAACAGTCTCTGATTTGCTGACAGCATTGGCTCCATGACAACCTCTAAAACAGAATGGCTCAAGTGAACAACACATTTTTTTCATTTGTTCATGGGAAGTGGGCCTCACTAGATGGGCCACCGTTTATTGCCCATCTTTAGTGATGCAGAACATAATGAAGATCATAATAAAATTTAAAAAAAAAATCACACAAATTGAGAAGTATGAATATGTAGAAGGGTGGGGATGCAGTTGCCCAGGTGGAAGGTGTACATAATTTGATAGGTTAACTCCCAAGACAGGGGCTTCTGGAGAAGCCTCACAGCAACGGATTGGGCTTGATTCTGCTGATTAAAGAAGGTTAAGCAGGATATGGATTATAATATTTGACAGAGGCTAAAGTTATGAACTAATGGTTATCCACGTTATAATTCGACTCAAATTTTGGAATAAGAAATCTTGTTGAAAAAAAGATACCACCAGAGATGAGCTACCCAAGAGGAATACTGCAAAATCCAGGATGCAAAGAAGCAATACTATAAAAACTGCAATCTGAAAGACAGAGAATGCCAGAAATACTCATCAAGTCTGGTAATCTTTACAAGGGTGAGGATAGAGTTAACAGGCAGAATTTAATGTTCCCTGAAGAAACAGTCAGAGTTAGGGGAAGGGCCTGTGATCAGACTGGTGGAGATTCTGCCATGTTCTCATCTCTCTCCATCATGTTCATGAAGGAAAAAAGGTATTGAAAGGCCAATGGGGCCCTTAAGTGCCACTTAAAAGTCTTATTCTCCCTCCAATGGGACTCATCAAGCCTCAGGAGAGGAACTAGTCATCCAGGTCAGCTGCCCAGGAAATGCTTTGAATTGAGCTGTGGTTTTTGTTCTCAGGCACTCAGTAACTGATCTGGGACTCAGCATCAGTTGGGGGAAACACTCCACTCTGGTTTGTATTCTCAAGAATCCCTTACCAATGTTCTGAGAAGGTCCCACTGAAATTAAGACAGATCCTCTAAGGTGGCACTGCCAGTACTGCACATTTGTAATTCTGCATAATATTCCCATGGATTGCTAAGGCGTTGGCCCAAGAAATGCAGTGGCTGTGATGAACAAACTAGTCCTCCTTCAGAATGACAGCATCTATGTATGTGCCTATGCCACTCTGCCAGTGCCAAACTGTTCCACTGGTCAGCCACTTGGTCAAAATTAGTTGTGAAGTCTGAACGCAGGCCTTATAAGCTCGAGGGCTATTTGAAATTACCATGCAAGACCATCCTCAGTAAGTTTGGAAAGTTGGGGAAACGCATAGTAGTGGTAATGAGTTAGTTCAGAAGAGGCTGGTACAGAATTGACATGTCTGAACAATTCCTCACACCTAGAAGCAAAACAATGCTAGAAGCCAAGTGCCATCCCAAACTGCCCTTTTTGCATGCTCCAGTACCAATATGCCACACTCTTGTCAGCACTAGCATGATGTGCTGTGCAGGTCACGCAACAAGTGAGGGGACTGATATAGCAATTAATTTTGCCTTGCTAGGTATCAAATGTGCTGATGTCACCAGTGTCACAAAATCAGGTTGTGCAGCCTTGAACTTCTCTATTTTTGTTATTTGCACAAACACATCACTGCTAGCTGGATGACTTCTGCCAGGTCAGTTCAACTAAATTTCAAAGTATGTTTAAGAAAGGTAATAATGCTCATGTAATATTACAGCATTGGAGTCAGTTAATTCGCACTGAACCCTGGCAATGACTTTCTACTCTTAATAGTTCCACTCAACAGTTAGCCTAAGTAGGAAATGGAATAATGACATGCCAATGAAGTCATACAGTAAAATTGAGCAAAAAACAACAAAACAAAAAACCTTCTACAGCTCTGGGAATTCAATCCACAACGGTGTATTACACTGCATCCCCAACTCTTGGTAAATATTGAAGTTATATCCCACCGAAAGCAGATTTTGGGACTTACAGACTGCCTGCTAAGTGCACTGAATTAGAAGAAATCATGGACAATGCAAAAATGAACATATAAACATCAAACTGGTCAGCATTCTGACTTAATAGGCTATTAAGTTAGGTAAAGTGGCCAATTCAAGCTATTTGGCAGTATAATTCAGATACAGATGAGATGTACAACAGGGAGTCAGTGAACTGTTTGAATATTGCATGGTCAAGAATTTATTATATTAAAGAAGCACTTACTGAACAAATTTAACTTTTCAGTTTCAATACTTACTTTGCATTGTCAGGCACACATGGACTTTGAGTCAGCATGCCAACATCCATTTTAAGTACCCATAGGTCATGGAACTAAATTTATTCAATTAGTTCAGTCTGACTTCAGTGAAACAGATCAGTTTTGAATTAATAGCAGCATGATCCTGAATCAAGTGCAGTATAATTTATCTTTCCAAACGTGGCTGCTGTCTGACAAAGTACAGAAGGAGGGTAAAAATAGGACTATTTGTTTATCTCACTACGTCATTTTTCCTTTCAAACTTACTCTTATTTTACATTTGCTTTGTTTATAACTATTATTAGCAAACCAGACAAGTCAACTCATAGTAACAAAGCAGGATCATATTAAAAAGTTCTAAATGCTTTTATTTACCTGATATGTTGCTAAAATATGAGAAAGAAGATTGCATCGGCTTGCTCCTAGAAGGTCCACTTTCTGGCACACATCATTCTTTAGCTTGTCAAAGTGAATCTTTGCATGACGAACTTGGCCCTGGACCTTAAATGATGAAGAAATCACCTAATTATGTGTGACTGAACACAATTTTCGCAGTGAGAAGCACAAGTACAAAGTGAAAATCAAAATATTTCACTGCATGATTAAATTACTACTTAAGAGCAATTAAGTAGATTTTATCAGGGATATTTTGTTGCAAAATGTAATTTCTGTTCACAAGCAATCAGCTATAAAACCTACACGGCTGTTTCTGAATACTGGAAGCAGATATTCAACCTACAAAGTTGCATTAGTACAAGCAATATCTTCCCTGCTCCCATTGGAAACTGCAATTAGCAAATTTATAACTAGTCAAATCTTTTAAAAATAATTATCCTTGGCAAGAGTTCAAAACTGATTCTCACAAGCTCATAATAAAGATTGATTGTACAACAGATTAATGTCTATGTAGCAGAAGGCAAAAAAAACTTATTTAATGTCCTTCCTTTATGACCTATTCTGCATCACAGTCCATTTAACAATAGAGCAACAGTGTATACCTGAAATGTCACTCACTCAGGACCCACTGAATCTCTCCAGTGCTTTTCATTTTTATTTTAGATTAATAGCATCTGCAATGATTTACACTTTGCTAATATCACTATTATTTGGATGTTTGCAGAGTTCAGGAATCAATCAATCAATAAGAGCACATAAAAAGCTATGCACAAGGAATGAAAGAGCATACATGGAATAATTCTGCTCTAGAATTAACCTTCAGGTTCTTTTGATCCCTTAAACAATACACATATTAAGATGGCTATAATGTATGATTCCATCAGTTCTAAATGGAAAGGAGATGAAAAATAGAGAGATCATAAGCATAATTGCACTCAAATCCTTGTCTTAATGAAAACTGTTGCAATCACAGCATCAACTAAAGACTGTTGGACTCTGTAAATGATCAATTTTGTTGAGAATCACAAAAATTTCTAGCTCTTTTACATTTAAATGCACTTTTGGAACAGTAACCTGTTCATTTTGGTTCACAGATTTAACACTGACATGTCTAGGAAAGCATAAATGGAAAGTTCATGTGGGCTTCTCATGTGGGCACAGGCATCCAGTGGAAAATATGGTTGGAAAAGCTTTAAAGAAAATATTACGTTTAATTGTTTCTAGTAAAATGTTGCAAATTTCAGGTTTAGTAATAAAGTTTTAGTACAGAAAGCAAGGTGGCACTCAAAAAGATATAAGGCAGCATGCATCATGTGAAAATGCCAGGGAAGTGGAATCGAGAATGATCAGATCAGCTATGATCTCAGCGAATGTTGGAACAGACTCAAATGGGCTCAATGACCTCTTTCTGCTCCCATGGTCTTATGTATTCTTTTAAATTCACTCACAGGATGTGGGCATCACTGGCCAGGCCAGCTTGTATTGCTCATCCCTAGTTACCCGGAGGGCAGTTGACAGTCAACCGAGTTGCTGTGGGTCTGGAGTCACATGTAGTCCAGACCAGGTAGAGACAGCAGTTTCTTTCCCTAAAAGGACATTAGTGAACCAGATGGGTTATTCCAACAATCAGCAATTTCAACAGTCACCATTTGACTTCTAACTCCAGATATTTATTGAATGCAAATTCTACTATCTGCCATGGCAGGATTTGATAGTCAAGTAAAAAGGATCAAGGCAATAAAATTCAAATTGGTGAGTAAAGTGTGCTGGGTGAAGTCAGAGTTTAATGGTTCTTCGAGTTGTTAATCATCAACACATCAGGTATAATACCTAGTTGTTTCAATTTGAACAAGTATTAAGCTAAATCGTATTTCGTGGGTCTTCTAACTCATTATTTTAGGTATTTTCTACTAATTAAATAGTCTCTGTGCACATTCCAACAGACCCGCTTTCTGCCTTTTTCTAAATAATCCCACTGGGTTATATTTGTTTGAGATATACAGCTGTAAACAAATCTTAGAATTAATTTGTCTAGGATCAAATATAGCAGAAAATAGTGATGCAAGAAATCTGATTTTCTTGTTTGTTTGCCACCAAAGCCTATAAGTTTGATTGCTTATACATTCTACTGACACTACAGAATTGATACATTATCCCTAGGAGATGTAATGTACCAGTCATAATAATACATATCTACCTTTTTTATTCTATCAGTGGATACAGGGTTACACCGTGGCCACATAATTCAAGCAGTTCTATAACCAGGGTTATAGGTTGGTATTAAAGTCAGTTAAATGTTCCATAGAAGTGTAGAAGCAGGCCATTCAGCCCATGGAGTCCACATCAATCCTTCAATGAGCATTGCACCCAGACCCATTCCCCACCCTATTCCATAACCCTGCATTTCCCATGGTTAATCCACCTTACCTACATGTCCTGGACACTATGGACAATTTAGCATGGACAATCCACCTAAACTGTACATCTTTGGACTGTGGGAGAAAACCAAAGCACCCGGAAGAAACCTGTACAGATTTGGAGAAAAGTTGCAAAATCCACACAGACAGCTGCCCGAGGCTGGAATCGAACTCGGGTCCCTGGCACAGTGCGGCAGTAGTACTAGCCACTGAGCCACCATGGTTGGGTATCAATCCTAATGCCATCATGAAATGTTGGCATTTCTTTTCCTTATTCATTCATGAAATGAGAATATCACTGGCCAGGCAGCATTTATTGCCCATCCCTACTTGCCCAAGGGCAGTTAAGAATCAACCATATTGCTGTGGATCTAGAGTCACATGTAGGTCAGACCAGGTAAGGATGGCAGTTTCCTTCACTAAAGGACATTAATGAACCAGATGGGCTTTTCCAACAATCGGCAATGGGTTCATGGTCATCATTAGACTCATAGTTCCAAATATTTATTGCATTCAAATTCCTCTCTCTGCTGTGGTGGGATTTGAACGCAAGTCCCCAGAATATTATCTGGGTCTCTCGGTTAACAGTCTAGCATTTTATTAGATATTAGATTTTATTAGATTCCTAGTTTTATTAGGAATAAGGGAAATGAGAGAAGAATGAAATGAGAAACTTGTTAAGCTTTCTTTAGATGAAATTAGTCAAGTTGCTGTCTAATTTTCCACTGTTAATGGAGATGACCATAGAAAGTATCCACTTGGGCAAGCCTTTTCTCACAGTTTGACAAAATGTTTGTTTGTTTCGAAAAAAATATATTTACAATCTATGCACAATAGTGAAGAACTTTTTTTTTTGAATGGGAAAACAAAACTTGTACAGACAAGTTATTTCAAATAATTTATTCATTCCCAAACTATTCAATCTTGAAAAATCTTATTGTTTTAGTTCAGTCAATATATAAAGCAGATTTGAAGATAAGGCAAAAGCAAACACAATAGCTTGACTGATCAGCAATAAAATCCTGTTCAACTTACCATACTCTATTGTATAAATACTTCTCACCTGTTCCAGTCATTCCTCCAGACAATGGATAGAGTATGTTCCCTGAAATGTTGAGGCCTTTCAGCTCTTTCAAGTAAAGCTATTAAAGGAACAACTGGTCTTTTCTAAGCAAAGCTTTACAAAGTACAGCTGTAAATTTGTCCTCAATGTCATGGAAAGTAAATCATACCCTAACATTCAATTCTGGCGTAGGTGATTAAACTGCCATGGAATAAATAAACAAATTGGATTACTCTAGCATGCAAATCGATTGCTGCTGTCCCAAGTGAAAACGAATAGCAGATGCATTAAGAAGTCACTTCTCTCTTCCAGTCTGTACCTTATACAAGTCAATGATCCCTTCATACAGAGGTCTGCGGCATGGGTATAAATAGAGAGGAAAGCCTGTGAGTTTACAGTGAAAATATTAGAGTTTCCTTCTAACTTTGAAGAAAAATCTCTTCTTTACAAGGGAAGTAGTAGCAGCTGGGTTGTAGGCTCCCAAGGCGAACCCAGCCTTGGGAGCCTACAACCCAGCGGTCTCAATGTGGATTTCACTAGTCTCAAAATCTCCCCACCCCCAGCCCCAACCCATGGCCAACCCTCCCTCCTTGACCTGACACAACCTGTCAGTCTTCTCTCTATCTGCCCCTCCCACCTCACTGACTAATACCCACCACTGCCTAGCTGCACTCACCTATCATCATCCCACCTACCTTCCCCAGCCCCACCCCTCCTCTCTCTATTTATTTCAGAGCTCCCTTCCACCCCCATTTCTGAAGAAGGGTCCCGACCCGAGACGTCAGCTTTCCCGCTCCTCTGATGCTGCCGGGCCTGCTGTGTTCCTCCAGCTCCACTCTAGCATCGGCAGTTCTTACTATCTCTTAGGAATAAATAAGTCTTTTTCAGGCTGGCAGAAAATCATGGGTGGCATGCCACAGGGGTCAGTGCTGGGCCTCGATTCTTTACAGTTTATACAAAAATTTGGACAAAGGAACTGAAAGTATGGTTGTTAAATTTATTGATGACACAAAGGTAGGTAGGAAGCGAAGTTATGAAGAGGGCTTCCCCTATCTATAGCCATTTGTAGACTATTTAAGTAAATGGACAAAGATCTGGCAAATGGAGTACAATGCAAGAAAATGTGAAATTGTCCATTTTGGCAGAAGAATAAAAAAATAAGCATATTATCTAAAATGGTGAGAGGTTACAGAGCTGACATGTAAAGAGATTTGGGTGTCCTAATACATGAATTGCAAAAGCTTAACATGCAGATACAGCAGGTAATCTGGAAAGCTAATAAGATGCTATGTTTTATTGTAAGAAGAGTTGAATGCAAGAGGTAGGTTAGGTTTCAGTTATATAGGACAAAGGTGAGATTGCATCTGGAGTACACTATACTGTACCGATCACCGTTCATATAAAGATGTTAATGCATTGGAAGCAGTTCAGAGAAGGTTTGCCAGACCAATACTTGGAATGAGCAGATTGCCTTATGATAAAAGCCTGGACAGGCTAGGCCTGTTACCTCTGGAGTTTAAAAGAGTCAGGTGACTTAATTTAAAAAAAACAAACAAACATTCTCATGCAAGATTGCAGGAACTGAATAACACAAACTCCAAAGTTGCATGTGAAATATAGGTTCCAAATTTGTGCAGAAGCTCATCTTTTAAGTTCTGTTCAAATCACTTGTGTGCATTAAAACAATAAAATTTTAATCGATAATCACAAATGCAGCTCCAATGATGCTCAATAAACTTGATACCAAAACAAAAAGCACTCTATCCATCATCTTCAACACTGACACCCTCCACCAACACATAGGTAGCAGCATGTACCATGTACAAAATGCACAGAGGAACTCATTTAAGTTTCCTTTGACAGCATCTTCCAAACCCATAATCTCTACAGTTGAGAAGGATAAAGGCAGTAAATTCATGGTAATACCATGAAAGTTCACTGCAAGTTCTTTCCAAGCCACACACCATGCTGCCTTAGGACAATATTGCTACTTCTTACTTTGGTTTGGTGCAAGTCCAGGAATTAACTTCCCTAACAGTATTGTGGCATGCTTACACTCCATGGATTTCAGCAGTTCAGTAAGATGGCTCACCAACACTTTCTCCAGAGCAATTAGGCATGGGCAATAACTGCTTAACCAGCAGTGCCAACATCTCATGAAGGGCCAACAAAATAATAATCATTTGCTTATCAATTAAACCCGGATTATAATTGAGAATTATGAATATCTGCAACCTAAAATATCCCAACAGTGCAATTATATCATTAATCATTCCAAATTTCTAATTGGTATTCCACTTGTATAGTTTTAATATTTAAATTTTATGATCCCTAACATACTAATTTACAGATCTGCATATTTTACCTTAATATTTTCAAAACTACTAATATTAAATAATATTTCTATAGTGCCAATGAACCACTGAAGTTGAAAATTTAGAAAAACAATTTTAAACATGTTTTGGAACACTAACTGAGCTACTCCGCCAAATAGAAAATTAATTTCAACCATGCCAAAAAGTAAAATCATGATTATTAAAGAGAAAAAGAAATATCTTTTGAACCAACATCACAGGGACAACAAAATCCACAATGACAACAGTTTGTACCACAAATATTGTTCATTTACACATTATAAATATAAATCCATATCATTTCCAAAAATGTTGATTTGATGTGTATAGTGGGTGGTGGAGCAAGTTAGCATGATTTCTGGTCGTGTGATAGTTTGCTTCACAATCCAACCCACACTGTTGACCAGCAGAAATCTGTGAAAGCCAAATATGTTAATCTCTCCCCATTAGTACAAAGTTCCCCTCCATTAGTGAGTTCTCAGCTGTTCCTCCTTGGAACTGAGTCCCTTGTGGCTACAGGCTAAAGCTTCGGAAGAATTTAATAGAAATTTGTCCCATAGGTATGCATGCATACTGTAAAATCTAAAATATATAATGTTTCCTGCAACTTTTGTAACCAAGACAAACATTTTGTTTTCCATTCTATTGGACTGAACCAGGGAGATCCAACGGTCAAGTTGAGGGGGGGGGGGGGGGGGGGCAGTCTTTTATCTCCGGGCTGCCAGGAGGTCACAAATTTTGCCCTAGGTAGGGCACACCAGCTTTTCTGCACAGCATCAACAAAACACAGGGGCAGCAGTTACAAATCGATTGCTGTAGAGACCAAACTTAATAGGTTATTACTGATGGTGGGAGGGAACATCATATCCCACTGCTCAGGTACTGCCCACCTCAAGTTCTGAGTTCTGAATTGCAGTTTTGAAAAAAAGTCAAAGTGTCAGACTTGAATCATTAACTGTTTCTCTCCACAGATGCTGCCAGACCTTCAGAGTTTCTCCAGCAGTCTTGTTTGTTTCAGATCTTCAGGATCCTCAACACTGATTGTTGTGCTCTTGCTCTGCACGGTGAGTACATGTGTTTTTGTGGTTGAAGTGTTCCAATTCTGTTTTCATTCTCTCCAGTGTATTACTCATTCACGGCTATATTTCAAAGTCTCCAACGTCCTTTTACCCTACCCTCCAGCGTCTTCCTGCTCTGAACCCTATAATCAAAGTTTTCCAAGGTCTTGTGCAAGCATCAGCTGTATTGCCAAAGTCTTCCAAAGGTCCTTTCTTATCTTGAGTTATCCATTTTCATTTGTACCTTTTGGATTCTGTTTAACTTCAGATTCTGGCTTTGGCAGTTGGGGAAAAGACCTTCAATCTGCTTTATCTTGTGCTTTAAGACAATATTGCTGCATGCACATCGAGATACTGCTCTCAAGCATCTCTAGCTCATGCACTGTCCAAGAGGCAGCTTGGTCCTTATCTCCAAATAAGACTTTTCAACTCTATGCACTGAAACACTCCTATAGTTACATCTGTACAAAGTACCTTATCAAATACAGATCATAACGTGGTGTTTAAAATTGCTTTTCTTTTTAAAACATGTTCATTCTAGACTAGTGTCTTCTCTCTCAGATTCTTCAGTCATGTGATCAGTTACAGCATGATTTACAAAAATCTATTCATACCAATATGAGGATAGCTGTAAGCAAGCTATGAAGACAGACATTGACAACTAGAAAACAGTTGCAAGGAGGATGATTGTTTGTAAAGGCATTACAAGAGGTGAACAGAAATAAATAATTCAGCTGGTCAAGTAGTGAGCCAGAGAAAACAGAGGCCAATGAACAATACACATGCTCAGCCCATGACCTTGCTCTGCAACAAATAGATTGGGGTTCCATCAGACTAAAATGACTACCACAACACAAATTAGCTTACAAGACAGAAGGTTGGCACAATACAATTACATCTTGATAATAAAGATTAACAATGTTTTGAACTTGGATCAGAAATAACATCGCAGTGACTGGCCTCTTTCTATGTAAGCTTTATAAGACGATGATATACATAACTTAAAAATGTAAGTTAAACAGATTAGGGACACTTTTTTTTAAAGTGATTGCCATGAAAACCAATTACTTTTTCAAAATTTATTTACTGAACATTAATTCAATTGCAATTCCCATATGTGCACACGTATTCATTAAAAATCTTAAGGAATACTGAAGCACCAATTTCATTCTCTTCAGCAATTGTATAATGAGGTGATACTTATCCAAGAATGAACTCTGCAAAAGCTTTCGATAATTAATGAATAGTACTGAGTGTACTGCTGCGACTTCCTACTACCATGCTCTTCCTGTACAGCTCTGAGCATTTATCCAGAAGGCAATTAAGATTATCCAGTGAACATTGAAGCAGGAAGATCAGCAAGCTCCAATAATTTTAGACTCCATGGAGCATTACTTCAACTAGCCAATTATTGATGTATCTCCAGGACAGTAGTAGAAGCAACCCACAAGAAAAATCATGGGTGCATTTAAAAAAAACCTTGGGGCAAAAGCGGCTCAAATGTAGGAAATGAATAGTGTACACCATTTGTTTCACTTGTATATTTCAGTTTTTACGGAGCAAAGTGCTCTCAGTCAGCAATCCAAAAAGCACAGCACGCTCTGCCAGACACTTGGGACCTGTATTAACAGGACAAATAATTGTGCATTGCATTAACCAGATTGAAGTATAAGCAAAACAGAGTTTGAGCTAGCAACTCAGTTAGAATAGCGTTTTCAATGTCAGGACAGAATGTAAAATAAAGAGGGAACAAAAAAATGGATTATAAAAGAGAGAGAGAGAGAGAGATCGAGAAAAGATAAAGAAAAAAAGTTAAAGAAAAATAATTCTTAAATCTCTAACAACTGAACTCAGAAGGAATGCAACCACACCGCTGCTGATAATGAATTTTGCTAGAGAGGTTGTTTCGTAGTATTAACAACTAACTGCATCATTAAGAACACTAGAATGAACAAACACTTATATTTTTGGTGGGTTTTGTCCATACCTATGAAAGAAGTACAGAAACTGCTAATGTTCAATGTATTTGAGTGGGAGTTAGATGGCAAGATGCCATTTTTTTGCATAGTTTTAGGAAGAGCAACTCAGACAGCAACTTTTGGGTTTCTACATATACCTGTGCTTATGCATTCGCTCAGAGTTGCTGTCTGTTTTCCATGTAAATACTGGTGAGTGCTGTAGCTCACCATTATTTTGAGAACAAAACTGGACCCATGCTTTAGTCAATCTGTTGTGAACCTGTCTATTTCATAGTTATAAAAATATTACAGGTTGGAAAAATTGTTATTTGAACATAAGAACATAAGAACTAGGAGCAGGAGCAGGAGTAGGCCGTCTGGCCCTTCGAGCCTGCTCCGCCATTCAATAAGATCATGGCTGATCTTCTCGTGGTCAGTGGTCGAAGGTCATGTGATGAAACTGCAGAATGGATATATTCCTGGACTTGATAACCTTTAACAAGACTGGTATAAGCAAATTGCTACCAGTGGTTGAGGGATATAGAATAAAGGGACATGATTCCATGTTAAATGCAAGATATTTTGGACAGATATCAGGAAAGAGCTTTTAAACACAGATGTTTAAGAGGCTGAGAGCATTGTTAACATTTAAGAATAATTTAAGAATAATTGTGATAAGATGATTTAGGAAGATGATGAGCACATGGATCAGGATTGGCTAGTAGCACCACTGTTCCTGTCTAGAATGTTAATCCATGCAAATTAGCAATAGCAACATTGAGCTAAAAAAAATTGTTTTCTGTCCGTAGTTAAAGGAAGTAACTTGTGGCATGACATGCTGTTATAAGGTTTAATAATTTTTGTGCCATACAGTTTACCATCCAAATACCATAATTTTATATTAACAAATTCCTGAATGTAACAAAAAACGATGCAACATGCCAGATGTTCTACTATCAGTAAATATACTCTTACACTTCTGTCAGCAGAAAGAACACAATTAAAGATTCCAAAGTTTCAAAACTTTGAAACATGTCACGCCGTCAACAAAAACAAAAAACAATTCACAACTCCACTACTTTCGGAAAGGGGGGCGGGGGGTGTCAAGTGTTTTGACTCTGAAAATGAGCATTTCAAGCTTCAAGTTGTGCACCAATACAAAGTATCCTCTGTTGCCAGTATTTGTAATTGTAAAACTTATCCAAAAGTGGTCACAAAAGACTGTCAAAATTTATCCTTCTTACCTTCCTAAACTTTTCAAGATGCTTGTACATATCAGGATCCAATTCCTGAGAAACATCTTTCATCCATAGCAACGCTCCCCGATATTCTGTGCGAGACTGTTCCATACGGTTCACAGTCAACCAAGTGTCAGAAATGGCACGGTACCTAAAAGTTTCAACCTCCTGGTACAGCCGACATAAAGGACTGCGAAGTGCCAACCTATAGTATTAACCACAACAAATCAATGCTTTCACTTCTACCTCAGTACAAGAAAAAGAGAAGTAGCATTATATTTCATCTCCTCCTCTCTGTCCTTTACGGTTATTGCTACAAAATTAAATCAATTATTGTGAACAAACAGCAACTTGTCAGAAAATAATTGGGAATCATACTGTATGTCCAAATTCCATTCCCTCATCTCAATTGTTAGAACTCCATACTCAATAAGTAAATTACAGTCTGAAGGGTACAGACAAAGACAGTTTGGAAGAAAATCCAGCACATTGCAGAAGTGCAAATAAGTTTGTTTAAAAAAAGGCAAAAGGAAGGATATTTGAAGACACGGGGATGAGAACATCATAAAAAGTACAACAGATGTTGAAACAAGAGCAACATTTGATCAATGCCGGCGCAACAAAAGCAGATTTCAAATGTTACACAGCTCTGCTAAATAAATAACAAAAGGAGGTTTAAAATAAAAATTAAATCAAGAGGACAGAATGATGATAGGAAACCTGGAAATTGAAGAAACAAATTTTCACTAATATCCTGACACCCATTAATTAACTTTGTTACATTTATAATTATATCAGTGCTAACCCCCACTCTATGCTGGCAAATAATATATTCTAAAATAACACAACATGTAGATAGGTACTTAAAATTGTTAATCATACCATAATAAAGTATAATTAGTGCAAAGTACTCACCCATATGACCCTGTTTCCTTCTGGTACTCACATTGTACATACAGGTGAATTTGAAGGGCTCTGTTAAATTTATCCAGATATCTAACAGAAGTCTTCAGAAAGCCCATATCTCCATCTCCCAAAGCCTTACACTAGTCAACTATCAACTATACATGAATTGAGGTGAGGGAGATGAGCATGGAAATGAAATGGAATGAACATCTTTCTTTCCTTGTAAAATTTAGAGGTCTGTCATAAGGGTAAGTGGCTATACCTGCTCAATTAATCAACCCATGAACTACTATGAACCTTACCAGCCTGAAGAAATGGATAGCAAGAATAGATAATGCTATGCAAGTTCTCACTCTCAATTAAATAATAATTATTGAGATTGGTTTGAGGAACTTGATTGAAAGATTGTATTTACATGTGGCAGATCAAGATCTCAAATAGCTTTAAAAGGAACTGACAATTTTTGCTTAATATTATTCTTATTCAGCTTCTCAGCACCAGATTTGAGCCGTTAGCTATTGAGACACGTCACCGTGTAAACTATCCTAAAAAGAAACACCATGGTACAGGTGGTAATTCAAAAGCAAAGGTGTAGCTTCATTAGTAAATTAGTGCTTTATGCTGAAAGAAAGACATGAATTACAATCAAAGTAAATAAGTTCAAATCCTTGGACACAAACTCATCAGCTTTTTCAAAATCAAAGAGTAATACTCGTCTTAGCCATGTGGGTGCAGCTATTAGACTAAGCAAATGTCTAGCTTCTAACATGATGTTTTTCCATTTCTCCATAAAACCACTTTATGTTAGTGATGTGGACAAGTGAGATAATACAAGTGAGACAATTTTTTCAGGTCTTTGACACTGCTGATCTAGAGGCATCCGCTAGGAGCTGAATATTAACAACTTACATTGAGTCACTTCAGAACAACATTCGGATAGCTGGACCAAAGTGAGAATTAAACGCACATGAATAAGTCAGAAAGACAAATTTGATTTCCTACTACTCAATTGTATACCGTACTAGTAACGAACCCAGTGCACTACCAAACTACTATATTTATGCTAAATATACTGCAGTATATTTCCCTGAAATACTTTCAGTACCTTTGTTGCGAAGAGAAACATAGTGCTTTTCCAGATGCCTGCATCATTTTCCCAGCTCTGGTTTTATCCTGTGAACCCTGTGATCTGAGAAATCGTCCCAATTCATTTTCTTCCTGAGACAAAACTGAAAAGGAAAAACGAAGTGTAACATTTTATAACAGCTCAAAGCTTACGTTTTTCATTGTTCTCCCTTTCTGTCCATTATTCCAAATTAGTTCCCTCAGCTTAGCTGAGAGCAGGTATAGAGTACCATAAGGCTGGCTTTATCACTTAGTGCCCAATGTAGGCATCAGCCATAAGAGAAATAGGAGCAGAGCAAGTGGCTCTTGATCCTGCCCTATCATTCAATAAGATTATGTCTGATCTGTTTGTGCCCATCTCCTACACCATTTGGCTCCCTTGTAGATCAAAAATCAGATTATAGTCAAGGCTGAGTTGGACAATAACCCAGCCACCAGTGCTCTCTGGGGTAGAGATTTTTAAAGACCAATGATCCTGAGAGGCAGAATTTCCTATCTCGGTCATGAATGGGAGACACCATGTTTTTAGACTGTATCCCTCAGTCTAGATTCCCCACAAGGAAAAACATTCTTTCTGTGTAATTGTGAAATAATCATATCAGCCAGGATCATACTAAATAGTCGAAGAGGCTTGAGGGGCCTACGTCTACTCCAATATTCACATTCATGCGTGCCCTATTAAGTCCCTTCAGAATCACATTTGCTTCATAAAGATCATTCTTCTAAACTGTCTCAGAATTGCTTCCAATACAAATATATCCATTCTTATGTAGAGTGACCGAAACCGCACACAGTACACCAGGCATGATCTCATTAATGACCTGTGTAGTTATAGAAAGGATTCCCTACTTTTAAATTTCATCCCCTTGCAATAAAGGACAACAATCTCTTTGCCTTCCTAAATATTTCCAGTACATGTTAACCTCTTGTAATTCATGTAGAAGGATACTTAGAACATCTGCCCTGCAGCATTCTTTCTCCATTTAAATAATATTCTGCTATTCTATTCTTCCTGCCAGAGCTGACAACCTCACATTTTCCCACATTATACTTTGTCACATTTTTGCTCACTCAGTAAACCTATGTTCCTTTGTAGACAATTCAATTTTGCCCCACGACTTTCTCTCCTACTTTGTCAGCAAATTTCACTATCTTGGTTCCTTCATTTTAGTCATTAATATAGATTATGAACAGCTGATGCCTCAGCACTCATTCACATCAACTCTTCTATTTGATCACTTATCAAACTCTTTTCTGTAAGTTAGCCATTCCACTATTCAAGTAACATCACTGGAACATCACAAGCTCTAATCTTGCACAGTAACTTTTTATGTGATGCCTTATCAAATGCCTTTTGGAAATCCAAACACACTTCTCCGGATTCCCTTTATCCACCCTGCTTGATACATCCTCACAGAATGCAAATAAATTTGTCAATCATGACTTGCATTTCACAATATCAGGAAGATTCTAAATGATTTTCTAACTGTCCTGTCAGTACCTCCTGAACAATCGATTCTCACGTTTTCTGAACTGGCAAATGTTAGAACAACTGAGCTACAGTTTCCTTGATTGAGTGAGAAAACCTCTGGCAAATGAATATTATGTAGGAAAATGTGATGTGATTTTTCTCCCAATTTGGCAGAAAGAATAAAAACAATTCAAATGGTGAGACATTACATAGCTTGAGATGTAGAAGGGTCTGCATGTCCTAGCACAAGAATCACAAAAGACTGAAATGCAGGCACAGTAAATAATTAGGAAAGCTAATAGAATATTATTCTTTATTGCAAGAGGAACTGAATACAAATATAGGGTGTTTATGCTTCAGTTATACAAGCATTGGTGGGGCCACACCTGGATTACCATGTACAATATTGGTCACTTTATTTATGGCAAAATAGAAATGCATTAGATACAGTTCAGTTTAAAAGAAAAGATGGTTTACAAGACTAATGCCTGGAAATGGGCAGGTAGTTGTATGAGGAAAGGTTGAATAGGCTAGGCTTGTGCCTTCTGGAGTTTAGAAAAGTAGAAGGCAACTTGATCGAAACACAAGATCCCAAGGGGTCTTAGCAGAATGATGTGGAAAGGATGTTTTCCCTTCTAGGAGAGTCTAGAACGAAGGGTGGTTATTTAAAATTACGAACACAAAGACCAACAAAGGGCCACAATGTGGCTAGAAAGAATTATAAAAGGAAACTTGCAATGGACACTAAAAAATTGAGATTTTACAGTTACATAAAAGGGGAAGTGGTTGGTTCAGTGTACCATTGGCCCACTGAAGGCTGAGAGTAGGGATATTGTCAATGACCATGGGGAAATAGCAGATATGGTGAATGATTATTTTGCTTCAGCATTTACAGCAGAAAAGGAGGATAGCTTTCTGGAAGTACAAAAGAAATTAATATAGAATCAGGCTCAGAGTCTGAATAAAATTAGCTTAAAATTAAAAATTAATGGAACTGAAGAGTGACAAATTCCCAGGATCTGATGCTTTCCATCCACAGATGTTAAAGGAGGTATAACATTGTCCATGCCCTAATCATAATCTTTCAGAGTTGCTGGATTCAGGAGTTGTATCTCTGGACTGAAAATTTGCTGATGTCACTCTGCACTTTAAGAAGAGTAACAGAGGGAAACCGGGGAATTACAGATCAGTTAGCCTAACATCTGCGGTGGGGAAATTGTTGGAGTCTATAATTAAAAATAGGGTAACTGATCATGTCGAAAAACTGCAGTTAATAGGGGAGAATCAGCATGGATTCTGGTCATGCCTCACAAATCTCAGAGATTCTTTGAAGAGTTGACAAAAATTGATAGACAGAGTTAAGTCAATGGATGTTGTTTGTATGGACTTCCAGAAGGCCTTTGATAAAAGCTAGCAGTCGCTTGCGTGGGATAAGTTGGAAGTCCACTGAAGTGAGGGTGTATTACTGACATGGATAGGAAATTAGTTGACTGGCAGGAAACAGAGATTTGGAATAATGGTTAAACACCCAAATTGGCAGGGTGTGACCTGTGGTGTCTTGCAAGGTTTGTTTTGGACTTTAATTATTCATTGACAACTTGGATAATGCCATAAAAAGACAAATATCCAAATTTACTGACAACAAAGTTGGTAGCATTGTAGACAGCGTTGATGACAACATAAAACTATAACAGAATATTGATAGACCAGGTGAATGGGCAAAGCTGCAGCAAACAGATTTTAACATAAGCAACTGTAAGGTTGTCCACTTCAGACTGAGAAAGGATAGATCAGGGTTTTTTAAAAAAAAAGGCACAAAGTTTAATACACCGGATTTCCGACAGGGTTTGGGGGTTCAGGTCAATTTTTCCTTAAAATGCCACAAACAGGTACAGGAAAACAGTCAGTGCAATTAATGGAATGCCGGCCTTTACATCTAAAGGGCTGGAGTATCAGGATGAAGGCACTGTGCTGCATTATACAAAACACTAGTTAGACCCCACATAGAGTACTGTGAGCACATCTGGTCACCATCCTTCAGGAAGTATGTTTAGACCCTGGAGAGAGTTCAATGCAGGTTTACAAGGAGAGTACTGGACTTGAGGGGGTTAAGTTATGAAGAGAAATTAGACAAATTATGCCTTTACTCTCTAGGATTTAAAAAGTTGGTGTGATCTAATCGAGGTCTTCAGAATATTAACAGGATAAATAAAGATAAACTATTTCCAGATAAACTATTTCCACTGGTTGAAAATTCTAGAACCAGGGGCACAGTCTAAAACTTAGGAGACATGTTAGAAAGCACTACTACATGCAAAGAATAATGGAGGATTTTAACTCTTTTCCTGAAATTGCAGGTCAATGGTAATTCAATTATTAAGTTTAAATCAGAGATAGACTTTTTTTTTATTATGCAAGGGTATCAAGCAACCTGGTCCCCAAGGCAGACATATGGAGTCAGGCCACAGATCAGCCACGATCTTACTGAATAGTGGAAAGGTTTGAGGGGCTGAATGGCCTATTCCCATTGCTATGTTCCTAAAAACAAGAGGTAACCATTTTAAGACAGAAAAGAGGAAGATTTTTCTCACATGGTCAAGAGTCTTTGGAATTCTTTTCCTCAAACGGTCTGTGGAAGGACTTTGAATATTTTGAAGGCAGAGGTAAATACATTTGTGATAAACAATGGCTGAAAGGTTATTGAGGGCAAATGGGAACAAGGAGTCATGTTGAATAACAGGCAGGTTCAAGGGGCCAAGTGGCTTACTCCTGCTCCCAATTTGTATGTCTGTAGGTTTCCACAATCTTGGGAACTTTGGAAGCTTACAAACAATGCACCAATTATCTCTGCTGCCAGTTCTTTCAAATCTTAGGAGACAGACCATTTTTCAGAGTTGAGGGTGAGTACTATCAGGTCCAGGAGATTTTAGTCTCTCAGTTTTGAGTACTTCTTTTTAGTGATCACAATTGTTTCAACTTCTTCCCCCTCTCTTTTGCAACATGCTTTTCCACTAAGGTCAGTATGCTTCTGTCTTCACAGTAGAAGACAGACAGAAAATACTTATACAGAGTCAGCAAGGTGCAGGGCTGGATGAACACAGCAGGCCAAGCAGCATCAAAGGAGCAGAAAGGCTGACGTTTCGAGCCTAGACCCTTCATCAGAAAAGGGGGAGGGGAAGGGGGTTCTGAAATAAATAGGGAGAGAGTGGGAGGCGGATAGAAGATGGATAGAGGAGAGGATAGGTGGAGAGGAAACAAACAGGTCGAAGAGGCGGGGATGGAGCCAGTAAAGGTGAGTGTAGGTGGGGAGTTAGGGGAGGGGATAGGTCAGTCCAGGGAGGACGGACAGGTCAAGGGGGCGGGATGAGGTTAGTCGGTAGGAGATGGGGGTGGGGCTTGAGGTGGGGGGAGGGGATAGGTGGGAGGAAGAACAGGTTAGGGAGGCGGGGACGAGCTGGACTGGTTTTGGGATGCGGTAGGGGGAGGGGAGATTTTGAAGCTTGTGAAATCCACATTGATACCATTGGGCTGCAGGGTTCCCAAGCGGAATATGAGTTGCTGTTCCTGCAACCTTCGGGTGGCATCGTTGTGGCACTGCAGGAGGCCCAGGATGGACATGTCGTCTGAGGAGTGGGAGGGGGAGTTGAAATGGTTCGCGACTGGGAGGTGCAGTTGTTTATTGCGAACCGAGCGTAGGTGTTCTGCAAAGCGGTCCCCGAGCCTCTGCTTGGTTTCCCCGATGTAGAGGAAGGCACACCGGGTACAGCGGATGCAGTATACCACATTGGCAGATGTGCAGGTGAACATCTGCTTGATGTGGAAAGTCTTCTTGGGGCCTGGGATGGGGGTGAGGGAGGAGGTACGGGGGCAGGTGTAGCACTTCCTGCGGTTGCAGGGAAAAGTGCTGGGTGTGGTGGGGCTGGAGGGGAGTGTGGAGCGGACAAGGGAATCACGGAGAGAGTGGTCCCTCCGGAAAGCAGATAAGGGTGGGGAGGGAAAGATGTCTTTGGTGGTGGGGTCAGATTGCAGATGGCGGAAGTGTCGGAGGATGATGCGTTGGATCCGGAGGTTGGTGGGGTGGTATGTGAGGACGAGGGGGATTCTTTTTTGGTTCTTATTGCGTGGACAGGGTGTGAGGGATGAGTTGCGGGAAATGTGGGAGACACAGTTGAGGGCGTTCTCGACCACTGAGGGGGGGATGTTACGGTCCTTGAAAAACGAGGACAACTGAGATGTACGGGAGTGGAATGCCTCATCCTGGGAGCAGATGCAGTGGAGGCGAAGGAATTGGGAATAGGGGATAGCATTTTTGCAGGAACTTGGGTGGGAGGAGGAGTACTCTAGGTAGCTTTGGGAGTCGGTGGGCTTGAAATGAATATCGGTTTCTTGCCCGATATGGAGACAGAGAGGTCCAGGAAGGGGAGAGAGGTATTAGAGATGGTCCAGGTAAACTTAAGGTTGGGGTGGAAGGTGTTGGTGAAGTGGATGAACTGTTCGAGCTCCTCGTGGGAGCACGAAGCGGCGCCGATACAGTCATCAATGTAACGGAGGAAGAGGTGGGGTTTAGGGCCAGTGTAGGTACGGAAGAGGGATTGTTCCACGTATCCTACAAAGAGGCAGGCGTAGCTTGGGCCCATGCGGGTACCCATGGCCACCCCCTTTGTCTGTAGGAAGTGGGAGGAATTGAAAGAGAAGTTGTTGAGGGTGAGGACGAGTTCGGCTAAGCAGATGAAGGTGTCAGTGGAGGGGGGACTGGTCGGGCCTGCGGGACAGGAAGAAGCAGAGGGCCTTTAGGCCATCAGAGTCACTGTTTTTACTACATTTTCCATTATTTATTCTCTAGTCTCACCTTCCAAGGGATCAATGCTCATTTTTACAATTCTCTTTCTTTTTAAATACGTTTGGAAGCTATTACTGTGTTTATTTCATAGACATATTTCTTGCTCGTGTTATTTCATACTTCAATTTCTTTTTCTTTATTAATTTTTTGAAGTCACATTTTGCTGGTGTTTCTAAAATTTTCTCCAATCCTTTTGGCTATCACTAATCTTCACAGCATTGTGTCTTTTCTTTCAGTTTGATACCATCCTTAACGTCAGCCATCCTGACAACTAGAGTCATACAGCAGGGAAACAGACCCTTCGGCCCAACTCGCCTGCATTGGCTGGACATCCCAATCTGACCTAGCTCAATTTGCCATTGTTTGAATTTTTTTGCCTGATGGTACATGCTGGAACTCAGAACGGAGGAAGACTTTTCAGTACATAATTTGAAGTTCTGCGTCAGAAAGCAAAACTGTCACATACCTCATAGAAAATTTTATAATTCGGTCTCACAAGGCTAGTTCCAAGTTATGGTGAAGATAGCTCCAAGGAACGGTTGAGATAGATTAAGCAGATTTATTCCCATTCCTCCCAACACCAATAGCGTGATTTCAAAAGTTTCACGAGGCTCATTCAAAGCCTGAACTTCTATAAAAATTGCTATTGAACAAACTGGATGTTGGCTCCAGAATCTAATCAAGCATCTGACATTCAGTCAATCACGTAAAAAAAAATTATAAATCATAGATTTTTGATCTCATTCAATTGCTTTGCTTCTTAAAACTACATCCTCCTAACCCTTCTCTCATATGCAGGACTTTCGAGAATGAAAACCAACTGCTTTTATTTTTATTTAAAATTACTCACTCTCAACAGGCATCTGGTCCGTGTTTAATATTTTTCTACATTAACTTGATGGATATATGCACAGCTGGTCTGATTCTGAGTGATTCAGTGATAAAAGCCCCCAGGTTTCTGCAGTTAATTAGGCACTAAGTATGGAGTGTAAAATGGTCACAGTTGCCCCAGGCTGACAAAGAGAAAATTATTAGTACACTCCTCTTTCTCCATTATCACCTCCTTCCATCCATCAACTCTTGAAAGCCTCCATCTCAGCCCTAGTCTTCTGCCCTTTGAAGTGGTCTACCACCTCTTTAATGGCAATCCTGTACTGTTTCCCACCCTTGGAGTGGATGGTTTGTTTCTTGCTGGTCGGGATTATATGGGGAGCCTATACTGTACAGTTAATGCCAACAAATCTTAGGAAATGGGTCAAGGTAAAAAAAAAAAAATCACCAAATCCAAACTTTGAAATCAGACAAAGATATGCCCAAGTAATAGGAGCTGAGCTACATATCAGCCATGATCTAATTGAACAGATGAACATACTCAAACTGTTCGACCATCTTTTGTTTCTATCAAGATTTTCTTTCTAAATTACTACTTACATTGTCAAAATAAATAATTAAAAACAACATTCAATGTTTTGTAACTGTGACATTCAATTCTAAAATTTAAGATAAAGTACTAATAGGAACATAATTAAACAAATTATTAAACACATTCCACAAAATTTCATTCAAACAATAAATTAAATGCATACAACAAATCCGTTTCTGGTACTGTTCAATGATCTTCAGAAGTTCCATACATGTTCTCTGGATGGAATGGAATATCTAAACAAAACACCCAACACAAGCAGGATTAACATAATTGCACATGAGGAGGGCATAATATTAAGCGGAGGTTAATGAGAAAATTTGATGTGGATGATAGGTGACAGATTTCCTATTAAGATGCCTACTGCTGACTGGTCACTGGGGAAATGATTAGTTTCAAAATATCCATATTGGCTAAATCAAATATCAAAATCAGGTCATCTTTACTATCCACAGATTAATGACAAAATCAGGTGATGTATATTTGTCATTAATCCCATCCTAAATGGACTACACTTAGTGTACTCTCTGCTTGGCTGAATGCTTTAAATCCGACTCTGATGGAATCCTGTTTCAAACCTTTTAAGACCAAAAGTGATTGAAATATTGAATGAACTTCAAGGTTAATTTATTGAATATTTACAGCAATTTCTCACCACTCCCTTCCAAACACTGTGCGAATGGCAAAGTATTGCAGATATTGGAAGTATGAAATAAAACAGAAAATGCTGTAAATATTCAGCATGTCTGCCAGCATCTGTCGAAAGAGAAAGTGTCAACTTCTCATCAGAAATAAATCGTATATCAAAACAGTACATCTTGTGTAGAAATCATATTCTAGATGGCTATTTTTTTAAAAATAAAAAAAGGTAGTTTAAAAAAGGTAGAGAATCATTTAACAAATATGTCCCTATGAGATTTGAGGCTGGGGCTGGAGGGTGAAAATGGACAACCACAAACCATTTTGACCTGTTCAGAAGATGTAATGAAAGATTATAGAAACACTCCAAAATCAAATATTCGGTTATCTCATTTGTACAATCAATAGCATGAATAGAATTCAAGTTTACTCACATAGAAGCATGTTGGAGAATTTCCAAGCCATATATCAATTTCTGCTTCACAGCATTACTCCCAAACTTTTATAATTACCAAAGATTTATTACAAAGACTTTGCTAAATCCTATTATGGTTTCTGAGATCAACATATCGAGTGTAATCTACATACGCTGGTGAATATGTTGTTATATGCACTGGATGTGATCGGATCTGAATATCAGCTGTTGCTATTAGTTATGGATATGCATGGTATTGAACACTTCTTGTACTGTGAACCTGGCTTCTGGAACAATTACAGAGAATACTGAAGAAACTCAGCAGGTCTGGCAGCAACTGTGGAGAAGGAAACAGAGTTAATGTTTTGTGTCCAATATGATTCTGAGTATGAGACATAGAATTATACAGTCATACAGTAAGGAAACAGACCCTTCAGTCCAATTAGTCCATGCTGACAATAATCCCAAATTAAACTAGTCCCACCTGCCTACGCTTGGCTCCTATCCCTCCAAACATTTCTTATTTATGTACTTATCTAAATGTCTTTTAAACGTTGTAACTGTACCCACATCCACTTCATTCCACACACAAACCACTCTGTGCAAATAAAAAAAAATGCCCCTCATGTCACCTTTTCTGGAATAGTGGGAACAGAGGAAGCTGCCTCTGTTAAATTATAGGGAGAAAAATACAGAACTGATCTGTGAAAGTGTTATTTCTGCAGAGGAGTGGCCAATGTGTGAAACCAGGTTTCTCGGGAGACGGTACAAGCAGTTGGCCTTGATTCATTCAGATGCAAATTAGATATGATTGCTTTCAGTAAATGTTTTGGGAAATAGTGTATGAATAATTTGAGATGTGACATGTGGTAACAGCAAGCATGGGAAGAACAGGTGACTTGAAAACTAGGCTTCAAAGAGCTCTCCAGCAATGAGGCCACAACTCTTAACAACAGTATTATTGGAAAGGAGAATGGATCAGAAACATAGTGGCCTATAGGTAATGTTCCTGTATTAGTAGTCAAGAAGACCAAGTTAATGTCCTTGGGACATGGGTTCAAATCCCACCACAGAAGCAGGTGAGTTGCTAACTGGAAGCTAGTTTCATGATCACCAGGACTCAAACTATCACTGATTGTTGTGAAATCCTCCCATTCCTCAGACGACATGTCCATCCTGGGCCTCCTGCAGTGCCACAACGATGCCACCCGAAGGTTGCAGGAACAGCAACTCATATTCCGCTTGGGAACCCTGCAGCCCAATGGTATCAATGTGGATTTCACAAGTTTCAAAATCTCCCCTCCCCCCACCGCATCCCAAAACCAGTCCAGCTCGTCCCTGCCTCCCTAACCTGTTCTTCCTCCCACCTATCCCCTCCTCCCACCTCAAGCCGCACCTCCATCTCCTACCGACCAACCTCATCCCGCCCCCTTGACCTGTCCGTCCTCCCTGGACTGACCTATCCCCTTCCTAACTCCCTACCTACACTCACCTTTCCTGGCCCTGGCCCCATCCCCGCCTCTTCGACCTGTTTGTTTCTTCTCCACCTATCCTCTCCTCTATCCCTCTTCTATCCGCCTCCCACTCTCTCCCTATTTATTTCAAAACCCCCTTCCCCTCCCCCTTTTCTGAAGAAGGGTCTAGGCCCGAAATGTCAGCCTCTCTGCTCCTATGATGCTGCTTGGCCTGCTGTGTTCATCCAGCCCTGCACCTTGTTGTCTTGGATTCTCCAGCATCTGCAGTTCCTACTATCTTTGGTTCACTTGTGTCCTTTAAAGATGGAGAGGGTCAGTTTGCTGGCTTGTGACGTAGAGTGCCGCCAACAGCATGGGTTCATTCCCGCACGGGTTGAGGTTACCATTAAAAGGTAGCACCTGCTCAACCTCACCCCTTGACTGAAGCACAGTGACCCTCAGGTTAAACCAGTGCCAGTCATCTAGCCCTCTGATCTGGCAGGACAATGGTGACTTTTATGGATGGAAATCTGCCATCCTTAAGTGTCCGCTGCATTTGCCCACCATGCAACTCCAGACCCATAGCAACATTGTTGACTCTTAACTGCCATCTGTAACAGAAACATAGAAAATAGAAGGAGTAGGCCATTTGGCCCTTTGAGCCTGTCCTGCCAATCAATTTGATCATCCAACTTAATATCCTGTTCCAAATTTCTCCCCATACCTTTTAATCCCTTTAGCCCCAAGAATTATATCTAGCTCCTTCATAAAAACACTCCATGTTTTGGCCTGAACTGCTTTCCATGACAGAGAATTCCACAGCCACATCACTCTCTGGTAGAATACATTTCTCCTCATCTCAGTGCTAAATGGCCCACCCCAAATCCTTAAGATTGTGATCTCTGGTTCTAGACTCCCCAGTCATTGGAAACATCCTTTCTGTATTTGTCCTGTCTCGACCGGTTAGAATTTTAGAGATTTCTATGAGATTCCCCTCACCTCGTTCTTCTAAACTCCAGTGAATATGGTCTTAACCCCTCCAGTCTGTCTTCATACATTAGTCCTGCCAGCCCAGGAATCAGTCTAGAAATCCCAAAATCCACAAACCTGACTGCCCTGGTCGACCCATTGTCACCCCCTGCTCCTGCCCCACCGAACTTATCTCCACCTATCTGGACACCATTTTCTTCCCCTTGGTCCAGGAACTCCCCACCTATGTCCGTGATACCACCCACTCCCTCCACCTCCTCCAGAACTTCCAATTCCCCGGTCCCCAACACCTCATCTTTACCATGGATGTCCAGTCCCTATACACCTGCATTCCCCATACAGATGGCCTAAAGGCCCTCCACTTCTTCCTGTCCCGCAGGCCCAACCAGTCCCCCTCCACTGACACCCTCATCCGCTTAACTGAACTCGTCCTCACCCTCAACAACTTCTCTTTCAATTCCTCCCACTTCCTACAGACAAAGGGGGTGGCCATGGGTACCTGCATGGCCCCAAGCTATGCCTGCCTCTTTGTAGGTTATGTGGAACAATCCCTCTTCCGTACCTACACTGGCCCTAAACCCCACCTCTTCCTCCGTTACATTGATGACTGTATCGGCGCCGCCTCGTGCTCCCACAAGGAGCTCGAACAGTTCATCCACTTCACCAACACCTTCCACCCCAACCTTAAGTTTACCTGGACCATCTCTAATACCTCTCTCTCCTTCCTGGACCTCTCTGTCTCCATCTCCGGCAACCAGCTAGAAACCGATATCCATCTCAAGCCCACTGACTCCCACAGTCACCTAGAATACAGTTCCTCCCACCCACCTTCCTGCAAAAATGCCATCCCCTATTCCCAATTCCTTCGCCTCCACCGCATCTGCTCCCAGGATGAGGCATTCCACTCCCGTACATCTCAGATGTCCTCATTTTTCAAGGACCGCAACTTGCCCCCTCTGTGGTCGAGAACGCCCTCAACCGTGTCTCCCACATTTCCTGCAACTCATCCCTCACACCCCCTCCCCGCAATAACAACCAAAACAGAATCCCCCTCATCCTCACGTACCACCCCACCAACCTCCGGATCCAACACATCATCCTCCGACACTTCCGCCATCTGCAATCCGACCCCACCACCAAAGACATTTTTTCCCTCCCCACCCTTATCTGCTTTCCGGAGGGACCACTCTCTCCGTGACTCCCTTGTCCGCTCCACTCTCCCCTCCAGCCCCACCTCACCCGGCACTTTTCCCTGCAACCGCAGGAAGTGCTACACCTGCCCCTACACCTCGCCCCTCACCCCCATCCCAGGCCTCAAGAAGACTTTCCACATCAAGCAGATGTTCACCTGCACATCTGCTAATGTGGTATACTGCATCCGCTGTTCCCGTTGTGGCCTCCTCTACATCGTGGAAACCAAGCGGAGGCTTGGGGACCGCTTTGCAGAACACCTACGCTCGGTTCGCACTAAACAACTGCACCTCCCAGTCGCGAACCATTTCAACTCCCCCTCCCATTCCGCAGACGACATGTCCATCCTGGGCCTCCTGCAGTGCCACAACGATGCTACCCGAAGGTTGCAGGAAAAGCAACTCATATTCCACTTGGGAACCCTGCAGCCCAATGGTATCAATGTGGACTTCACAAGCTTCAAAATCTCCCCTCCCCCTACCGCATCCCAAAACCAGCCCAGCTCGTCCCCGCCTCCCTAACCTGTTCTTCCTCCCACCTATCCCCT